CACAAAATTCAAGATATGGGGGTTAGAAAATGTATATATTTATATCATTTTATGTAGTTAATCAATATCACACGAAGAGTGCCATTTCAGTTTTTCTCCTCCAAAAATCAGCATATAAACAATAATTTAATTACAACTACGGATAATGTAATCTATGAATGAATAATAGCCTATAAAGAGCCTTTGTGCCAAAAGGGTTCTTTCTTGTCATTATAGAACCTTTTTAAGCATTAAAAGGTTCTTTGGAGTTGAGTAAAGAACCCTATGCTTCATATATAGAACCCCAATGAACCTTTTTTTCTAAGAGTGTGTAGATGCTCTTTTTTTATTTGTCATTCAGAATGCCTCAGATGTATCGCGCTCCATTCGCTAGCCTAGATTTATGTATGTTTTTGAAGAATACGACCTTGGTTTTCTACAAAACTGTCTTTGTGATCTCAGCGAAACTTCAGACGAACTATAGGGCCATATCCTCTTGCGTCCTGCGAACTGAAGTCTGACCTCTTGAACCTGCGCGCTCAAACAGGGTCTGGACACTCCAGAGTGTGATCAGGTCGCGACCCAGCAGGGAGGTCACAGCGAGTTAAGTATCGTTCTTAAACGTAGGGGTGAGAGCTCTTATCTTTAATGAAGTGTGACTATCCTGCGCTGCCACTGTCTGGCCTGACCGCCCTCTCGGCTAAAGGCACGCTATGAAGAGGAGACGAGATCTCATCTAATCTGCCCGACTCAAAAAAGAGACGTCCATAAAGCCCTTCAATGGGAATGATTTGTTTCCATCATCCTCCAGGACAAATCTACGTATATAAGGCCACTCAAACTGATCTCTGGCATCGTTCTCTCATTTCTTTCATTTACAGATGCCACATTCACATGCAAATTGCTCGATGAAGACCGTTTATTAAAGTTTACATCAAGAAAAAAAGTGAAGTTGCAATGTTACAACTCTTGGATTGTTGCCATTCATATGAATAATAGAATATAGAACCTAATATTTTACTTAATTTCAATTCGTGTGGTTTGCTAAATAAACTTGCTATGCATAACTGTAATATCATGAGCACTTCAGTTTGCCATTAATGCATATTTAAAGGGATAGTTCACTTTGAAATTAATTTTTAGTATGTTTTAGCTTACCGTCTTTGTTTCCACATTAGTTTCAATTTTGATATTTTTAGGTCAAACCGTTCTTGTCTGTCTGTCATATAATGGAGGTCTATGGTCACCACCTCAAAGAGCATGCACAGAGAAGACAAATTAAACATGATTTAATGACTCGTAAATGTAAGTACACATTGATGGCCTGAGACACGAAACAAGCGGTTTGTGTGAGAAAACGAACAAGATTTATATCGTTTTTACCTCTTGTTACCACAGCCACGTCCAAGTGATCTGAGGGCGCGGGCGCTTTGTGGCCGTGGAGGTAAAAACGATATAAACACTGTTCGTTTTCTCACACAAATCGCTCGTTTCGTGTCTTAGGCCATCAATGTGTACTTACATTTACGAGTCATTAAATCATGTTTAATTTGGACTTCTCTGTGCTGCTCTTTGAGGTGGTGACCATAGACCTCCATTATATGACTGACAGACAAGAACGGTTTGACCTAAAAATATCAAAATGGAAACTACAAAGGGATACATCTTGGATGCGCTTGAGGTAAGCTAAAACATATCAAAAATGTATTTCAAAGTGAACTATCCCTTTAATATTTTCTTACCCAATCAAGAGTTTTGACATTGCTAGTGTGAAATACGCGGTATAACAGTTACTGTTTACACCCTCTGATATAGAAGTGTAGCCCTGTAAATCAAACATTAATCAAAAGTTACAAATATGAATGTATAAGCTTGTGTTTTGCTCTTAAATAAAAGAGTCATGAGACTCTTACAAAGCTTAATAACATGTGATAAACATTGTGAGATGTCTTAATCAGTTAACATCCCTCTTTTCACCAGAATGAAGGAAACTCTCTGTTTACCCATGATGAAAGTGGCAGGATCCATTTTGCATGCAGTCCGAATTAGTTTCAGTGAATCCATCCAGAAGCCCATGACAGATAAAACAGATCATTTGATCCATGACTCGTGAAGCCAAACTCTCTTCACCCTGTGAGATAACAGATCACATGCTCACACTTAAAACAGTCAAATCGGTAAAACAGACAGTGAACGCAGGTATAATATCAGTTATTTTAATGAGGAGTTCCCTTATCTGGATATTCTTCTTACTTCAAGTTTGAATCATAGCAAATGTCCAAAGAAGGCGTTTAAAATAAGTGTCAAGCTCCTGAACATGTTGGCGCATTTGTGACAACTTGCCCCATGTAGCTGGTATCGTCATTAAATCCAAATTTTGGACAACAGATATTGTAAATAAATTGTATAAAATTGCAAGAAAACACATGAAAACTTGCCCCAACCAAACCTTGTCAGTTCAATCATTTGTTTAATATCTATCTTCTCACTCTTAGAAGAAAAGGTTCTATCAGTGCTACGTATTTGGAACCCCTAAAAGGTTCTATACAGATTCTTTGTAACCAGGAAAAAGGTTCTATATGGAACCTTTTTGGAATCATTCATTATCATTTGTTTTGTCTTTTCCAGATTAAATATTTCATATTATTGACAAACATCGAGACCCTAAAATATATTTGAATGCATGTGAATGATCACAAAATTCAAGATATTGGGGTTAGAAAATGTATATATTTATATCATTTTATGTATTTAATCAATATCACACAAAATCAGGTGATTAAAATGTCATATAAAAAACAATAATTTAATTGCAACTACAAAATGCTGCAGGATAATGTAATCTATGAATGAATAATAGCCTATAAAGAACCTTTGTGCCAAAAGGGTTCTTTCTTGTCATTATAGAACCTTTTGTAGCATAAACAGTTCTTTGGAGTTGAGTAAGGAACCCTATGCTTCATATATAGAACCCAATGAACCCTTTTTTCTAAGAGTTGCAAACAGTACATTGATTTAAAGTATGCCAATGTGGTTACTATAGCACAAACATGATGGTGTTTGAATCGAACATTTTAAAATGAGTCAAAATCTTATAGTTCCCAAAATATAGTCCATAACCAGCTTCTGTCTTCTCCACACCATAATGTTAAAAAAGCAGATTAAAACCATTACGATGAAAATGGTGGCATATAACGAGTCAATCATCTTCAGTTTGGATTGTATTTATGATGATGGGCATAATAAATTCAGTGGATTTGCTTATTTTCTATTCATTCTGGGGTTTATTTTTCATTTTAATAAATATTACATTGATATTTGGTACAGGAACAGTGGATTAAAGTTGCTTGAAAACTAAAACTGAAGGTCTTTATGTATACATTATCAGTCGATTTATGATGCATGCACATGTTTCCATCTCTGCTGTGGTCTCATAGCGAAATCATTTACCACTAATTACAAAACTTTGAAATGATTTGACACTGCGGCTCAACCACTTATAAACATGGTATAGAGGGAATATCAAAATCTTGTTTCCTGCTTGTTGCTTTAAACAGACCTTGTCCTTAAGTGAGGAATTCTCTTTTTTCTGGTGCGTTATCTGGTCATCCGAACAAGCCCGACAGGACAGTCACGGATGATTACGGCCTTAAAAGCTTGTCTTATGGTCCACGGGAGCATGAGATCTTCACAAGAGCATCACACACACACACGTGAAAAGAATGGGAGTTTTCAGCTCAAATTTCTCTGCTGATCCACCATTAAAGATGCATTTGGTTTGCCCTGTATCTGGATCTGTTCATTCACTGTCTATTCATTTAAACACTTACGTCAACTTTCCACCCGACAATAAACTTTATAAAACAGTGATGTGGGAGTACACCAATCCATGCTGGTGTGAGGCTACTTTAGTCTGACAGCGTGAAAATAATAGACAGTACTGGTCAAAATTTTGTTTTTTTTAGTCTCTTATGCTCATTCAGCCTGTATTTTTTTAAACATACTATTGTGAAATATTATTACAATTTAAAATAATGGTTTTCTGTTACTTTAAAATATAATTTCTTCTCAAAGCTGCATTTTCAGCATCATTGCTCCAGTCTTCAGGGTCACATGATCCTTCAGAAATCACTCTAATATGATGATTTATTATCAATGTTGGAAACAGTTGTTAATAACATATATGACAACAATTAGTAGTGCTGCCTAATATTTCTTTATACCTTTTTTTCAGGATTCATTGGTGAATCAAAAGTTAAAAAGAACAGCATTTATTAAAAATAGAAATATTTTGTTTTGGGGTCAGTATTTTTTTAACGAAATGAATATTTTTATTCAGCAAGGATGTGTTCAATTTATTTAAAAGAAAAAATATAGTAAAGATCAATGTTAGAAAATATTTCGATTTTGAATTAGAAAAAACACTAAGCAGCACTTCATGTTTCCAACATTATTAATGCGTCATCATATTAGAGTGATTTCTGAAGGATCATGTGACACACCAGCCCGATCTCATGAAAGTTCGTGTTGGACACACTGAAGACTGGAGTAATGATGCTGAAAATTCAGCTTTGATCACAGGAATATATTATATTTTAAAGTAGCCTGTATTAAAATAGAAAATTAATTCACAATAATATTTAATTTAATATTTATAATAATAATTTGCAGTATTTATTTTCTTTCTCTATTTTTGATCAAATAAATGTTTGAGCATTAAATATTTATTTTAAAAAATTAAAAACAGTAATGTTTGCAAACCTTTTCCTAATTTAACTTCCTTTGAAGTCTGAAGAAATCATAGACAGTAAATGAATAAACTATTTGCTAATTCGTGTTTTCAAAAAGCAAAACAGGTCTTCGTAGAGCAATACCGTCACCTAGTGTGTATACTTCACATTACACCAACGCAGCGTAGAAGCATGAATATTAATGACGCCACGCTACTAGAACGTACTGACGTCACGTAAAGTACATAATATTCATAAGCAACGCCTTTTCTTTTGCCATAGTAGGATCAAGAAACACTTCCGGTCCACAAGAAAACATGGCGGTGCCCTCGCGAATGTCATGTTGTAGACTGTCTTTATAACGTTATTGTGTGTTCAAGCGCTACCACAAACACGTTAAGCTTATATTTGTATAAAATTACACACGTTTCTGCATGCAGTTACTGGATTTATAAGGTATGTGGGGGTTATTCGCGAAAACCGGTTCATATTATGCATGCTGTCAATTATTTTAGTTGGTAATTACGACATTTTATAAACATTTACTTCTTATTATTACTAAATATTACTCTCTTTTGTTGTCAACAGGGAACCTGTCAATCATGGTCCATTTGTGTAAGTATTGTTAATGCTATGGCTCTCTATGTTGGTCCTGGAGACTCACATTTGGGATGTTTCCCTAATCTAATGCTGCCTACTCAGAAATATCCTTTCACTTCTGAAGTCGTGATCTTATCGCATTCAAATTTTAACTTGAGAGGGCGTTCGTGTCCTATTTATTAACTAGGGAACTAGTATTTACGATAATTCCGATAGCACGTGAAGGCAGCATAACACACAAGATTGAAGTTGAAACTCCATATTTTGAAATGTTTGTCAAATAAAAAAAAAAAAAGGCACCTAAAACTTAGCATCCAGGACCAGGAGTCTTCCTGCTTTACTTCAGAATTAAAGCCTCATGTTTCTGATACAAAACACTGCTGTCCTAGTGGAAAATAAATACACTCTAAAAAATGCTGGGTCGTTTTAACCCAATGTTGGGTCAAATATGGACAAACCCGAAATGTTGGGTTAAAAATGTAATGTAAAAATTTAACCCAACGGCTGGGTTAGTCCATATTTGACCCAAAGTTGGGTTAAAACAACCCAGCATTTTTTAGAGTGTAGCATAAAAGAAATGTATTACTACGGAGCCCTTAAAGGGACCTTTGCAAAAGTAAAAATATACAGACTTTCAGAAACGTATCTCGTGAGCACGTGAAAGTCTGTATATTATTATTTTGCCAAAGGTCCCTTTAGGGATTCCATATATTTCAAATTCATTTTTGGTGTAGCCGGTATACCAGAAATAAATTTTTCATATGTATGTACTTAATAAAAAAGTTAATTGAAAAGTGCCAAAGCGTTGCAGTGGAAAAGCACCAATAGTCTCAAACAATGTGTTAATGAATTTGTAGTAGTATGAAGTGATATTTTAAATACATTTTATTCACTAGGGTGTTCATGCATTGTCTTTGTTTTAGCATCTTACCTGCTCAAGAAATATCACGGTGGGCATGTGGTCATCAGGCTGGCATTAGGAGGCGCCACTAACAGACCTTTCTACCGCATTGTGGCTGCGTATAATAAACGGTCGAGAGACGGTAAATATATCGAGCAGCTGGGCTCATACGACCCTCTCCCGAACATTCACAATGAAAAACTTGTCGCCTTCAATTACGAAAGGATCAAGTACTGGATTGGATGCGGCGCCCACACAACACCACCAGTGGACAAACTTCTAGGTAATGAGATTTCTTACTTAAAAAAAAACAATGCTTGGTGATTACAGCAAAACTCAAGTCACCTGATAAACGCATACCTTACCACACATTCTGCGACACTGATCCTTTTTTTCCTCCGGGTAGGATTGGCTGGATTTTTCCCACTGCATCCAATGACAATAACGGAAGCAGAGCGGAGACAGAAAGCCACTTTAACAGAAGAAGTTAAAACGGACAGTCAAGACCAAGTGGAGCAGTAAAACCAAAATAAAGTGCAAATCAATAGTGTTTATTTTTCATTTTGTTCATATTTTAAGGGTTTCGGCAACCAGCGTAAACTTCACATGTGATTCAAATTTCCTTGTTACCCAATAAAATATCAAACATCTTGGAAGATAAGAGACTGAAAGTGAATTCTGTAATCATTAAACTATTGTAAACACATTCTCACGTTACTGAGAACTGATGGCAGTTAACAAAAGAAATTAATAAATGATCTGGCCCTGGGAAACTAAACTGAAAGTTTCTGTTCTTTGTTTGAGTTCAGGTTAACTGATCTGAACCTATACACACAATTGTGTAACTCCTTTATAGAAAGCCATGTACTGATGTATTGAACTGGATACACCCATTTTTATAATTTGTCAGAGGGCACAGATTCTTTCTGAGGTCAGCTTATTAAATTCAATACTAATAAACATCAGCTATAAGCCCAGAAAATGCATTGTGTAAGTCTATTAAATAAATCAGAGGGATGCTGGACGGAGCTTGTTAACGGACACACACACACCATATGTTTCTTAATCCTCTGAAGCCGTCTGCTCATTCTTTTGTTATATACTACGTTAGTGAAAGTTTTTGATTTTACTTGGCTCTGTAATACAAATGTAATGTAAATACAATGTAAATTGTGTATTTCTAAAGAGACATACATAATATACTATACAAAACATTCCCTATACACAAATGAATTAGATTGTTCTCTTTAGAAATGCACAATTCATTGTAATACTGGCTCAGACATAATTGATAACAATTTAAAGTTAATAATTCTTCTTGGGAAATTTCATATTCATAAAGCCAAAGTAATGTCTATAAAACCCTCTTTTAATTTCTTTTGTAAAGATGTTAAAAGATTCCATGACTCTTTGATTTCAACTACTAGAAATAAGAAGTGCATAAAAACATTTCAAATTTTGGAAAAATAGTTTGTAGAATTTAATGTTTTACTCTGTACAATGTAAAATCTGTTATGCGTTTTCCCCATTATGTGTTTGTCTTTTGTTGTAAAATGTCATTATAAGCTTTTATAAAAGTTGAATATATATATTAAAAAAATGCACAAATTAATATTTAGTGTTGCCTATTATAGAGCATAAGACAGAAGGTTAAATTAGGAAGACTATCATTTTGCTTAATTGCTGCTGCTTAACGTGCTGTTGAGACTATATGACGTTTCTGTGTAAATGAATCTGATTGCCATTCAAAAGAATACTATCTTCTTATCTTTTATGATGGTTGTAAAATGCTTGTATACTGTAATTCAATTTATCAATGGTGTGTCAAAAGGTTGTATAAATGGATGTGTATTCTGGCTTGCCAACATGAGTAATAGCTGAAATAGAATAAAGTCTTTCCAACGGAAATCAGATTCACTACATTTACACAGAAATGTCATAATTTCAACAGTACGTTCTGATAAAACCATTTACATATTTAAAGAAAAATATAGCAGCAGCAATTACAGGGCCAAGCAAAATAATAGTTTTCTTAATTTAACCTTCTGTCTTATGCTGTATAATAGGCAACACTTAATAAAAAATTGTGCATTTCTAAAGAGAACAATCTAATTCATTTGTGTGTAGTGTATGTATTCTCTTTAGAAATGCACATTTTTTAATTTAGTGTTGCCTATCATAGAGCATAAAATATGATGATAGAAGGTTGATAGAATGATAGAAGGTTAAATTATGAAAACTATAAGAAAAAGATTTCTCAAACTTCACTCTTGTTGTTGTTACCTAAAAAAAATAATTTCTTTATTGAAATAAAGCTGACATAAAATGAAATATAAAACTTAAACTTCTCATCTTTTATGATGGTTGTAAAATGCTTGTATACTTGCGTTACTTAGCAATCTAATTCATTTGTGTATTGAGAATTATGTATGTATTCTCTATAGAAATGCAGTTTTTTTATTTAGTGTTGCCTATTTTATATATAAGGTTAAATTAGGAAAACTTTTAAGAAAAAGATCTCTCAAACATCACTTTGTTGTTGTTAAGTAAAAAAAATTAAATATTTCTAAAATAAAATATAGAATATTTCTTTATTGAAATAAAGTTGACGTAAAATGAAATATAAACCTTAAACTAAAAAAACAAACAACCTTTGATTAAAAAATAAGAAAACTTAACTAAACTAAAACTAACTAAAAACTAACTAAAACTGGGATACAAACAGCTAGAAATATATTTCAAAAAAACAAAATGAATAAATAAAAAAATGACGAAAACACATCACTAAATCAACCTAAAATGAACTATAATATATACAACTAAAAGCTAATTCAAATAAATGTATAAATAAAACAGAGTCCAAAACAAAGAAAAAAAGGTGAGTCCACACCCTGAAATACACATTGTCATGGAACGAGGAAACGTGAATGAGATTTCATCTCTGTTCTTTCCAGCCATTGATGTCAGCTTGTCTTACTCATTATTTATACACAATTGTGTTACTTATTGCTGTTAAATTGAAATAAGTCGACAATTGAAAGTCATAACAGTTTTAAATTCATCAGCCACACAATGCAAACTACAAATTAAATGAATCACACTACTTACAAAATACATGCATATAAAGGTAACGCCATTATTTATTCAAAAAAGAATATTCAGAATTATTGGAGATTTAAGCAAGACTTGACATCAAATGAAATGTAAAATTAAAAGCAACAAATGTATCAAACTATTTGTATGTATAATCATTAAAAAAACGCTGTAACAAAAAAAGGATGCTTTGTGGGAGACAATACACTTTCTACAAAATCTTATAAATTGAAATCTACATTTCAGAAACAGAAATAAGCACAGTACTGAGTCAGTTTCACTGTTCCACCCATCCTACAGTGTTCAGGGCTTTGCTCAGGCCAGTCTAGCTCTTCCAAATCTCGCTTTTCTTGCTTAGTTCGGGACACTTTCCCCGGTTTCACAGACAAGGCTTAAGTCCTAGACTCTAAATGCATGTTTCAGCTGAGAGTAGCGTGCACTGCTATAACTTAAAACATGTCAGTGTCATTGTTTTCTTTTACAATCTCTTACGTATAATGTACTTATTGTGCTCACGTTGTATTGTAAAACATTTTTGCTGCTATTGACGTTAAGGTTAGGGACAGGTGTGGTGGTATGGGTCGGTTAAAGTGTAAGGGATGGGTTAGCTGTGTATTTAGATATAATTACATAAGCTGCAATTACATGCTGTAGGTACTTTTAAAATATAAGTACAATGTAAAAACATGCATGCACACAATAAGTCCATTGTATCAAATTATCCGTTTCAATGTAAGTACATAGTCCTTAAAGCCACTTAAAGATGTAATATTGGTCTCAGTTGTCCCCAGAATGTATTTGTGAAGTTTCAGCTCAAAATACCCCATAGTTAATTTATTATAACCATTTGAAAATGTCATTTTGGGGCCTGTTTGAAAATGAGCTGTTTTAAAGGCATGCCACTTTAATGCAAATGAGCTGCATATCCCCGCCCTGCCTTTGGATGAGGGCGTAACTTGATACCTATGGCTGGCAGTCGGTAAGCAGAAGGGGAGAGTGAGAGACGCGCTATTTTGTCTGTCATTCAGCGTACGTGTGAATCGGAATATATAAATAGCACAAAGAGACTCCGGCAGAATAAACATATGAGAATGGACGAGTACGTCTCGGTATGGTTATTTGATACATTTATGTACTTACAGAGTTGTAATCGCGTCCTCTTTGCAAGTATGGAGGAGCAACACACACACACACAGACACACAAACACTAACGCTAGCGCATTTTTTTAAAACTAACGTTACATACACATGCTGTGATAAAAGTTTGCTACGTAACTTACAAGCGAAATTACATTTATGCAGGGAGCTGTGGCGTCATGTTTAGCTACTTGTCATACAGGTGCTTCTGTGGCAAATGTGAGAAGATGGCTAACTTACAGAACAGGAACATATATGCGGTTTTTAATACAATATCTTTAAAAATATATATATATATTTATAAACGTGTGGTTACACACTATACAAACAAGGTTTAAATTATATACACTGACATTCTACGACAACAATTTTAGACGCTTTTGTTGTTGAATTGGCTGACAGACTGTTTGCTCAAAAATCATAAAACACACTTACTGTTACTGGAGGTGAAGTTTGATCGCAAACAGTAGACGACGATCCAAACTTGAGGATTAACTTTTAAGCCACAACAACAGGATTAACCCACGAGTCAATAAGTTATTTTTCCAAGAGACATTACCGGCTGTCGTTGAAACAATGGAGGATGGTGTGTACAGATCACAGAGGGCGGGGTCTAGGCCACAGCCACACTGTCAATCAAACCCCTTTCTCACTTTCTACGTCACAAAGAGCTGAATCTCAGAACAGCTCGTTCTGAGGCAGTGGATATGATTTATTGAGATTGTAAAAAAACCACTGGGTGTATTTTTATCATTCTAGGGTGGTTTTGCTCACACACTGCCAACACACATTTATGTTCAAACACCATGTAAAAGTGAATTTTCCATAATAGGTGCCCTTTAATATAAAGTGGGACCGTAATTTTTTTCTAAGGCACATTTAAAGTAATTAAAATGTCCTTATTGATTTAAAGCAGAGACAATTTATACAGAGACATGCCACTTCCTCAATCCTCAATACAACTATATAGGGGAAACCTGTAATGCCAAAGATGGCGGTTGTATGCACATAGTTTTGCGGTAGTTTAAATCAACACTGAACTGATTTCAATAATGACTGTTTAAGCTAATATATTGTCTTTCTCCAACGCATTCTCATCCTATGGCGTCATATACGACGCTTTTGCCAATGCACATGGCACCCTTTAGCGTCAATATACCACGCTTCAGTTATGGGCAGGTTTAGGTCTGGGGTAGGGTTAGGGTTACACCACTAGGAGGCGCCTTCTGGCCCATATATATATATATATCTGCGTCTCATAATGACGCTAAAGGGTGCCATGTGCGTTGGATGTCTAAAGCGTCAGTATATGACCCCTTGGGATGAGAACGGGCTGCTTTCTCAGAGCTGCTTTACAGCAGAATTGAATCCTGTTTGCATCATTTAATCATTATATTTCTGCTTATCACTGTATTGCTTTGAAACAATCTTGCATTTCCCAAAAGCTGACTCAGACTGGTCTGTTGGTAGGTCAGACTGGAAACCAGTTGACTGCTTAGCTAAACACCAGGGACCTCATGTATAAACGTTGCGTACGCACAAAATGGG